TACAATAACTATATATTTTTCATGAATAAAAAAAGTGTTTAGTGTTATATGACTCGTAAAACTAACTTTTGTTTATATCATTAAATAACATTTATGGTATAAATTTTAATAGAAAATAAATATCTAAATTATATATTTTCAAAGGTTTAAACCTTTGCTTTTTGTGACTAACGTTTCATTTCGTAATGATTTTTAGGTTGTTTGTTGAAAAAATTGTTATATTTATTAGAAAAATAGATATATTCAGTATTTGATTTCTCAAAAACGTTCCAAATTTCAAAATTTTCTCTATATTTGATTTTAAGTTTTACAAAAGGGATTTATTTTTAATTTTTTACTTTGTTTCCCTAAAAAGTCCAAGTGGATAAAAAAAAGGATGATCAAAAGTCATGGATCACATATTTATTAAATAGTATTTTTAACGGTTTCACATTATAATGAAACCTCAACCTTGATTCAGTCGTTGTTGCGCTTGCAAGAAGGATTTTGATTCTCTCTTCCTTTTCTGCGATCCAATTATATTTTGATTGCAATAAGCGAAATGTGATTTCTAAGGGTGAATAACCTGATTTTGTTGCTCCATCAAACAAGGAAACAATAATATTAAATCCGAGCAGAGGCCACTATCTTCAAAATCGAATGTTTTTGACGTACTCTTCATGCATATATATATTATTATGATACAAGCATTACATTACGTTATAATCATAATCGTATATTATATATGTATCTTATTTACATGTATAAAAAACTAGATCAAATACAGTACTATTTAAGGGGGGAAAACATGCTGTATTCATCTTAAAATAACAAGAACGATAATAAATAATTCATGACTAATTACAAGACACAAATAACAACATACTGAAGAGTATATATTTCAAATATGAAAGTAGAACACGAAGTAACAGAGACGATGCACAAACATGAAATAACAGATGCAATTGATCCATAATTTGTTTAATAAGATGGCCGTCTGATGACTTGGATCTTGTAGTCTGCTTGAGGCCCCCACCCGTCGTTGTGGTAAATGACGACCTGGTCACCAACTTGGACGTTATTGCATCCGAAGAATTGCACCCAATGGGGACCCGACAGGATCCGTTTGTTTCCCTTAACCCTGTATTTGAACGTCCATGGAGAGTTACATTCATCTACCACGGCCACACCGCTAGCCTCCGCATTGGGGAATGGTTCGGAACTGAATTTTCCCGTAACCGTGAGTTGTCGTGAATCATTTTCGTCGACCACCTTCCACAAAAGCGCCATTTGACGTAGAGAAGTTGAAGATTTCTTGTTTTGGCCTGGGTATTGAATGATGAAGATGAAGAAACAACCAGGAGCATTGTTCTTTTTATAGTGCGAATCCTGGTTGTATGAAAAACAAGATCGATCGGTTTAGTTCGCAAGGTTTCATGCTATTGCTCTGCTGTTATCGCTACCTCGTAAAACATAAACAGGCGCGCGACATTATTTTGTTTGGAAATCTATATATCTGAATTGCCCGATATCTCAGTCAGTGTTGTGGATAAGATAATAAAAAATAACGTAAAAAACCGTTTTTGTGTTCGATCGGCATACTTTTTTGTTGAATTGAAGAAGATATTAAAGAAAACACTTTTAATGAATTTGACTACGAGGGTCAGCAAAATGGCGGCACGAGGGGAAATATCTCGTGTCGTCTTCTGCTTGCGACAAATGGTGTTAGGTTGACGTTTGTCCGTCTCGCGCCGTAACATACTGTAGTATCATATTGTAATAAAGCGCGAGCAGCTTGCGACATAGTATCATATTGACGCTTGCGACAATCTTGCTAAATTCATCGTTTACTTGATAAAAAACTCAAATTTACTTGAGTCCTAAAATATTGTAATAAAGCACCTTAAATATATAGTACCATATGTAATAAAGCGCGAGCAGCTTGCGAGTCGGTTCCGATGTTGCTTAGCGTCCAATACTCCCCTCGGCCTTCGAAACATTGTTTGGACTTTTGTTAATTTTTTAAAGGTATAATGCAATTTTTACTCCTCCAACTTGACAACATTTCTAATTATATCTCTATTTTTTCATTCACATCCACAGTGACTAGATTTTGTCCCTGCCAATTTGAATAAAAACTAACTTCAAATACTTAATTAAATAAAAAATATATTCCTAATTGAATCTTAAAATTAAGTTAATATGTTTAATTTAATGAATTGAAATATCAAATTAAATTTAGAAGTTAAATTAGATAACAAAAATGTATATTTACCTATAGAAAAAGAGAAAGTAGGGCCATGGAGAGATTGTTTGAGGGCTTTTTCTAGTTTGGGCTGTTACATGTTGAAAGGCTCAATAGCAGGAAATGTTCATTTAAAAGGATATTATCAAATGGGCTAATATAACCAGAAATTGGCCTCAAATATCTTGTGGCCAGCATTCGAAGCTGCAAAATCTCCCCTAATCTAATCTTCTTCCCAGCCATTCATCCAAATACTTCACCTTTTCCATCATCTCTTCTCCATACAATAACCAAACCCAATTTCTGTTGTCTTTCAACTTTCATTTTACTGTCTAGCAATGGCAACAGCCTCAGCTACATACTCTCCACCCATGTTGGCTGCTGCCACCACCATTGGCCACCCCAGGAGAAAGTCTGGTAGTGTTCATGTGAATTACATAACCGGGTCGAACTCTTTCTGTGGATTGAAAGCTCATAACAGAGTAGTCTCACTTGGCCAACCAGTGTGCATTCAGCAATCTTTTGCAAACTTTGTCAGCTCACTCAAAGCTCCATCAAGTGGTAAAGGTAGAGGTGGTGGTGGTGCACTCTCTTCAACTTGCAATGCAGTTGGTGAGATATTCAGGATTGCAGCGATCATGAATGGACTTGTTCTTGTCGGAGTTGCCGTGGGATTCGTTCTCCTTCGAATCGAAGCGTCTTTGGAAGAAGCCGAGTCATGAGTGAGAAATTCAAGATTTGCTTCATCAATGTCTCTACCGAATTTGTACTTTGATTGCTATGTGAAAACGTAATTGTTTTTCGATTCCAACTGAATTAGCACTTTGGGTTGCTGTTTTGAAGCTCTTATATCGAATAAAATATATTAATAGACAAATTTCTTTAGTTCCTTGTCATTTCTAATTGCAACTATCTGTTTTGTCTAAGCACAGCAAGTTAGCAACATGTGTCTATGGCTTATATATAGAAATGTAATGTTTTATATGTCTTGTTTAACTGATGTCTAATATGACTTATTTATAATACGTCTACAACATTATATACTTATCCATGAGTGTTTAAGTTCAATATCAGCCATTGTTGTCCATGTTATACTTACATGTTTATCAAAGTTAATTCTTAGGGATCAGCTTGCTTCAAGCTATCCATTGTTATAGGAACATCGCTCCCTCTTATTTGAAGTTGCTCGCATTCGGTAGATTGTGGCCTCAGGGTGGTTTTCCAGCAAATTTTAGGCAGATGAATCCTGTGAATATCATAATTCCAGACTCAAGAGAGTATCCAACTGGATTGCAAGTTACTCAATGCTCTGGCCCTTATATCTGCTTCATTTGAGAAACACACGTTGTCACCGCCGCTTTCGGCGGACTGCATTATGCATCCTCAAGGAACAAACTGAGGACTCCATAGTATAAATCCCATGTTCATGAACCAATAACCCTGGAATACAACAAAACCGATAGAACAAGAACCGCGGACTGGCTTTAAAGTTTAGGATTTAAAGTTTTAAGATTTAGAATTAAAGTTCACTGGGTAGGATCCATGGTTTTTGTTCTAACCCAAGGCTGGCTTTTTCAAGGTTCTGGTTCCCAAACTAGAGCTACGGGCTTTCAACCCCGAACAAAGTTATCAAGCGATTAATTTTTAAACTCTAAACCTTAAATCTCAAACTTTATATTTTAGGCTATAAGATTTGAGGTTTAGAGTTAGGAATTAGTGAGTAAGGTTCAGAATTTCTTGGTTCAGAGTTAAGACTTATGACCTAAGGTAAGATTTAGGGTATAAGGTTTAGACTAAGGGTCATATGCCCAATATAACGTTTAGGATTGAGTGTTAGGGTTTAAGGTTTTTGATTTAGAGACTAAGTTTTAGCACTTATTATACATTTAGGATGTAGGTCCAAGGTTTAGAGTTAGTATTTAGGTTACATGGGGTTCATAGTTCCCTAATTCAGGCTTATGTCCTTTGACTCATAGCAAAGTTTGGTGTATATGGTTTAGGTTCAGATTAAGGGACTTTGACAATTATGTTAGGGTTTAAAATTTATGATTTAAGATTAGAGTTTACGTTTTATTAGGTAGGATAGAAGGTTTATGATTTATGGTTAGAGCTTTAAAATATTTTAAAAGTTCAATTTATATATAATATAATTTTTTTTGAAGAAATATAATATAAATTTAAAATTTTAAAAACTTTAAGAAAAAATATGTTTTTATCATAAATAGTTTAAAATTTACATTTATTTAATTAAGACAAACTATAGGATTGAAGACTTTCATTCATATTATACATTCATTAATTTAATGTTAATAAAATGTTAAAAATATAATATAATTATATTACAGAAGCAATCAATCTTTAATCCCAATTAAATAGTGAAAATAAATTATAATTAGATTAAAATTACTTATATAATATTATTAAATTCAAAACTATGAAGTTATTAATGATTATCATTAAAGCGATAATATGAAGGCTTTAACGATATAAACTGCTCTGTCCATTCTTAAGCAATACTAGTAGGGGAAAGTTTTGGAAAAATGGAGGATATTTCGCCTTCAGCTCTACGCATTCTTAAGCAATTCTACACTCAGCCAAACGGAAACAATGGCGGCAACTACAGCAACTATGATCAATATTGTCTCCATACTAAAGCCTTGATTCTCCGATCAATTAAAAAAGGACGACATATTACTATTTTCACGATGGAGTTCTTGAATCCTTGATCCTCGTCGATGAATTCGATCGTGGACAGGGGGTTCATGCCTCTGACGCCATGCGGGAAGCTTTTTGCGCCCTTGTTGTACATCTTACGCTGCGGTGGTTACACTTCTCGTGGGACGACTATTTTCACGCCGTATGGAGGATTTTGGTAAAGGAAATTGGGGATTTGGAGCTGTCTGGTGCCTCCTGCCTTCTTTCGACTGATTTAGCTAGATGAAGGAAGGATATCGAAGCGGCACGGTGGGATCGAGAGACCGCTAAGAGGCTGTTACACATTGAAACTGCTGATGAAGCGCGGCGCCTAGTTCGAGTTTATTTAGAGGAGGCACCACTGCTGATGATGTTGCCTATGCTCCTACTTCTGCTCCTACTGAAGGGAACGGTAGGCTCCTCCTCCTCTCTTCTTTGATTTTATTCCAAAGTCTTAATATTTTTATTATGCTATGTCATTTATATGTTTAATTTGCAGTATAATATGTTGTTCTAAGATGTTGTATCATATGTGGCAGAACCTAAAAGATTGCATTCTGAAGGCTCTCAAGGCCATGGAAATAACGAACAGGGGGCACCTAATGAGGCCATCAAAAAAGACCACGACAGTATAGATGGAAATGCTCTTATTCCATTTGCTAATCATACGGGAGAACCCTCTCAAACTAAGGAGGGGAATGAAGATTTTAGCAGGGCTAGGCCCAAGAAAGTGCCAAGCACCAAGGACAGGAATGCCACTGCTCGCACTGAGGTCTGTGTGCGCATATTTATATTATTATCATTACCGGCATTACATTGCATGTTCCATTGTTTTAACTATTGCTTTCATTGCATTGCATGCTTTAAATCATAATCGTAATCTCCTGCTATGTTTTCTTTTTCTATATATATCCTTAACTGTTATTACTATTTATGCTCTGTCTGACTTGGCATTGTTTTGTGAAATCTTGGGATGAACTTTTATGGTCATTTGATATTTTGTCTTGCATTCTTTAAGTTAAATCCCTATTTGTTCATTTAATCATATAATGTTTTGGTTTTTCATCTGTCTTATGTAATGATTGTTGTTGTAGTTGGAGGATTCAGTTGATGACTCTTCCCAAGGGACAAATAGATGCACTTTACCAAGCCCCAGGACAGAACACATCTCTCTCCTAAACATAGACGAACCTAAAAGGTGGATGAGACGGAGAAAAGTAAATAAATGGACCTACGAGGAGGAAAATGCTTTGGCAGAGGGTGTACGAAAGTAAGTGGTTAACATATAACCGAGGTTCTGCATTTAATTTTCGGTGTATAATCCTGTTAGCATATTAAATTTGCTCTAGGTTTTTGCTTTAGTAGTTGTTACTATTTGTTTAACCAATATGAGAAGAGATAGTTTTGGTAGTTTATAACCATTGCTTTCCCACTAAGATTATTTTCATAATGCAGGTATGGATACCAGTGGACACGCATATTGGAAACCTATCAAGAAATATCTAGAGAGAGAACTTCTGTAAGTATATCACCTGCTTTATATGATGTGTGAACTTATTCATTTTGATGGATAATTTATAATATATGTTCTTTGTTGTATATCAGGTTGACCTCAAAGATAAATGGAGAAACTTGCAAAGGAAATGATGTTTGGAATCTCATTTGGTTCTCTTCTTCTGTGGTGAACTGTAACGGTCTTATGAAAATTGTATAATATGCTAACTGTTCGTACTGGACCAGATTTGAATTGTTAATCTGTAAACTGGCCTTCATTTTTGGATTTTTTTTGTATACTTTAGCAATGGGGATGGTATAGTAATGATGATTGAAGTGGCAATGTTTTGGTGGATGTAAATGTTTTGTTGAGGCTGATGACATTGAGAAAGTGATTCCAATGTAATAGCACCTAACACCATCATGGTTTTGACAAATTTCTCTAGTTCCTTATCATTTCTAACTGCAACTGATTGCTTTGTCTAAACACTGCAAGTTAGCAACATGTTTTTTATGGCTTCTGCAATGGAAATTTCATGTTTTATAAGTTTTGTTTAATTGGTGTTTTATGTGGCTACTGTGAGGGATATCGTATTTATAATACATCTACAACACATTACATTTATTCAGAGATTGTTTATGTTCAATATCAACCAATGTTGTGCATCATACACTTACATGTTTATCAAACAAAGCTAAACACCTAGGGATCAGCTGGCTTGAAGCTATCCATAGTTATATAAACATCGCTGCCTCTAATTTGAAGTTGCTCGTATTCGGTTGATTGTGGTCTCGGGGTGCTTTCCAGAAAAAATTAGGCAGATGAATCCTGTGAATATCATAATTCCAGAGAGTATCCAACTGAATTGCAAGTTGGCCAATGCTCTGGCCCTTATATCTGCTTCATGTGAGAAACATGTCACTGCACCGTGCATGTTGTCACCGTTGCTTTCAGCCAACTGCATTATGCATCCTCGAGGAACAAACTGAGGACTCCATAGCATAAACCCCATGTTCATGAACGAACAACCCTGGAATACAACAGAAACTGATAGAACAAGAACTGCGGGCAAACTAGTTGGTAGAAACATTATTGCTATAGCTGCCAGTAGGGAGAAGAGCACTATGAGCTGCAAGATCCAGTGATAATGGCCTTCAAGTCCAATATGATCGGCAGAGTGAAAATGGAGGAAGAAAAGCTCCTGACTGAAAACAGATGCCACAATAATTCCCGAAAAAGCTGATAGAATCTCAGTGGACTGAGTTAACTCCACGGAAAGAGTGAAACCTGCAAATATAGCAAGATGGACTGATGGAAAAATATGCTTGCGTGCTGAAGGCCATCGAGTTCGAAAGGAAAGCGAATAAAAGGTAAGTCTAATATTTGCATGAAAATTGCTAACAGGGAAAAGGCCAATATAAAAATCAGCTCCAAATGTTTGAATCTAGAAACATGGCCATGGAGAGGATACCAGAACCTTACTGTAAATTTGGTAGAGCCCTTGAGACAATAGGCTATAATATTGTTGATGGTGTGCCACAGGCCAAGAAGGGTCAGTGCCAGGCCTGGCACCAAATGTCCTACAAATGTGCCCATGGAAGTTTTTGTTTTCAGGTATGAAGATTTTGCATCTGTTTTAATCCACCAACCAAAACTTATATACCAGAAATGATCGTAGATACGTCGTGTCTAAAGTTCATATGGTAGTGACTTATTCAATGATTTGGTGCTCCATGCATGTGTTTCCACAAACCAAATAATTCCAAGAAAAGACGGCCAACTTCGGTGAAACCTTTCAAAAGTAGAAGAGAAAGATGATGCATCCGATAAGGAAGTGTTTAACTGTATATAGCATATTACTAAAGTAGAAAAGTGAAGAAGACACCCCTTGATTTCACTTCAAGATGTCCAAAATTGACATAAGACATTGAGGGTAGCGCGCTGGAAGATCATGGTCCGGATCAACCACTGAATATACATCAAAGTCAGAAGAACAGACGGCGTTGAATTCATCTTTGTTGTGTCTGTAAAACCACCAAAGAAACCAAATCTTTCATTTTCTGGTTCAAAAGGAATGGCCTTTCAAGGTTTATGAGGACAAGAACTTTACTAGTGGAAAACGGGATGCCTCCAATATAATAAGGGAAAAAGATGTTCCACTCAGCCAAATAAATGCATTTCTTCACGGAATATCACTAACTAATTAGTGAAGTAATGACAAAAAAAATAATAATATTGCCCTAGGAGATTGTAGTGACATGTAAAAGATGTTTTCTATTGGTCCAGCTCTCGACCAAAGAGGTTACTAGCAATCAAAATATCACCTTCAATAATAAAACCCTACTATCTTCGTAAACTTTTATCATGCATGTTCCTTGTAAAACTCATGCAGGTTTCATGTCAATTTTTGAATGAATATTATCTCACGTCTCCACTGCATATTAGGCAATATGCAGTGGAGCACTATCAACCAATGACATAACAATGTCGTTTACCAATATTTGTGCATGAAAAATTGACAGCTTCTGTGGTGCAGTTAAAGTTGTACTGATTCTTCGATAATATAATCAGGCAGGCCTTCCGTTGAGGCCCGCTACACCAAAACCGAGACAAATCCATCTCTCATTCCTTTTTATACCCCGATTTCACTGCACTTGACGTGAGGGACGTAGGGGCACAAAAAGGTAATTCTACCAACCTGTTCAAACCAGGTCTTACTTCATCGACAAGAAGAAAAAAAAAGGTTTCCTTCTCCAAGCTCATAATTGACCAAATTTTTTCAGGAAACATTTTACAACCAATGTAACGACTTGAGCATTTCACGTCGCCTGCTACCATCAGTGGGCAATACATGCTCCTTCTCTAGCATTCAAGTTTCAACAAAGGGTTGCAGATTTAGCTTGTGAACTTTCAAGTAAAATGTAATAAGATCTAAGCCTAAAAGAAAGACATCTGGCGGTGGTCCATAAACAGTCTGCCTTGAGAAAGGGATAACCCAACCACCACCCCCGTTACCTGGAAGAAAAACAAAACTTGTTTGTACTTGAAATTCTTAAAGAAATATTTAACGGACCAAGAAAGGATGTCAACAAATAATATGGACGTGGTTAAAAGTTCTTTAACTGTACATAAAATTAGTCTTTATGATGAAACAAATCTGGAGATTAGATATGAAGCAAACACCAAAAGAATTTAGAGGAAAAAACATTATTTGAAGAAAATTGATGCAATTAAAGGAACTGAATAACATAGTCCTCCATTATTAAACACATCCCAAATGATTAGGAAAATAGTGTTGGGGTGTGTGTTCATTAGCAACTGCATATGGTTGCAAGAAAACTTTGATAATGCATATAATGATGTTTTATTTCTAAAGTTGAAATCTTCAAGGCAACCATATTTAAATCTTTAAAACTATGTGCAAATATTCATGAAAGAGGTCATTGCTCTGAAAAAAACATAATAGAGTAGCTGTTACAGGCAATATTGATTCTTAAGTATAAAGGAGCCTTACCAGGAAAAGTACTAGGATTTAGCCCCAAAAGTCTGCATGCTGCCTCAGCCAATTGAATATCCCTTCTGAACAATAGCATAATAAGCATGTAATCTTCAAACCTTTGGCCTGTGTAGAAAATAACAAAGTAAGCCACAGAAATTCAAGGTTCTTTATATATACAGAAAACAAACCCATGTCTTGTACTTGAAAGAAAGAAATTTAAAATAAAAGCACAAAAAAATATTGCTGCAAAAGGCAGTCTCCCCTTAACATAGTGCAAAACAATTATGAACTTAAAAAGGAGAAGTATACCTTCAGACAAGAAAAGAGTGCTGCAAAAGGCAAACTTGGGTAATAATCTTCGTCTTCCAACTCATCTTCGAAAGATAAATTTCTTTCCAGCACAGTATTTCCCTCAGCTAAGGTGCTAAGATACTTCCGACATCTCTGAGCAGGATTGTATTCTTGCAGCCTTTTCCATCCAAGTTGCTCACAGCGATCGTCTCTTCCATCAGGATTGATGCTGGATAGGTAATGTATCTGCAGACCACTGAGACCACATTGCCACTTTCCAAGGTTATATCCTGGAAGAGAAGTAAATCAAGGTTCTACATTTCCAAAGAATAACTTGATGTCCCCAACATATGGTAACATGAACTGACCACCGAAAATTTCAGGATGAAATACCTTGACATGTCAATTTTCTGCCACTTTCCAAAATCCAAGCTAGAAAGCAGAACAAAATGCTTCTTTCCACTTGCAGCAGCAAAATTTGCCAAGTTTTTGACAAATTCAACCATTCGCCCCTGTTTAGAATGACCATTCAAAGATCAAATCATTCCATATACGTTCAAGTTTTGTATAGCTTGAAAATGAAGGAGAAAAAAATTAATTGGAAGACAAATTTGAACAATGGCAAAAAGATACAGCTAGGTGACAAATGAATTTCAACTGGCATGGTAGATCCCTCAGTCAGGACAATCAGAAATGAAACAGTACTCAATCTAAAAGAAGTAATTCAGTGCTTCAAGAAGGCAATTGAAATAAGAAAAATACATTAGCATAGATCACCAATCCTGGCACTTAACTATATAAATTAAGAAGTTTTTATTAGTTGGGTTCCCTGTATCGAACTGAGTAATCATTTAGTTAACATAACCGCTTTCTAATAGTGACCATGTAAAAAAATAACAACAAGCAGTTTACAAATAAATTCAATTCTTCTTATCCTTCTAGTTCAGTTTTAAGTAGTAAAAACGGCCTTAAATATATGATGAGTATTCAATGTCAACCATCTCAGAAGGTAATGACAGCAGCGCTTACTTGGAACTGAAAAATAAATCGAATCATTCTAACTATAACTGAAGCAATACCTTAACAACTGGAGACCGCTGTTGGAGAAGAGTGAGACGACTGGAAGACGACTCGTAAGCTGAAAGATTAAGAAATGACGTACTCGAGTACTAATATTAGTCCAAGCTTACTATAACAAACAATATGAAAGTGGAGTAAAGTGAGCATCTTCAAGAGGAAGATCGATGTCGCCGCAAGGAATAGGGCCCATAAGCATCGTTTCCAACGCAGGGAAACACAAAGAGGTCATCTAAGTATCCAATTCTCTCTGCTTTCATTGATGATACTAATATATTATTAACATTTGAATGATACATTATTACTACAAACCTTTATTCCCTAATATCTTACCACCTTAGATATTGATAAATTAATTTTATCGTTTTATTCTATTTATTGGTTTGGAATTTTTTTCAAAACTTCTTTAAAACTCAGGAAATTAATAAAAAAATACTCCTATACTTTTTTCTTATTAGATTGAGTTTTCATAAAATCAACTCAAATGATTGATTTTGAGTGAATTTTATGGGAAAAAAAACAATTTGATAAGAAAAAAATAAAATATGAATGTTTTTATACGGATCTTATTATAAATGAAGACCGATAACATATGATGCTTGATCAATAATGATGATAATAGGGATTGATTATTTTCTTAAAAAAGAGAAAAGAATCGAATATGTTTGTAACACCTCAAATTTTGAGCTAGTAGTTTCGGGTTTATCCGAGAGGTAAGTAGACCCCGTAGATTTCATGATTTAAGTTGTTGGGTTTAATTGGATTGTATTTGGGCCCAATTAGCCACAAAAAGGAGATTTTTAAACACGCGACAAAAAACCAAGGACTAGAAATGTAATTAGACCATTATTAGAATTTGAAGATAATATTTGAGGTTTTATTTCATTTTGAACGTAAGTGTCCTATTCTGCTCTTCATCTTCTTCCTTGCTCTTTTTCTTCCCTCTTCAAGTCTCCATAACCTCAAGTGGTGGTAAGATTCATTTTCTCAACTTTACTAAGTCTCAAATTTGTCCCTCTTGCTACCTATAACATTCTTACGTTAAGGAAATCGTTGCATTGTTGTAGCTAAAGGAAAAAGGGAGAAAAATCATCCAAGTTCAAAAAGGAAAGTGATTGCTAGCTAAAGGAGGTTTATTTCAGATTTCTAAAATCAAGGTAGTGTATTTCTAATCCTTTGGAGTATTAAGTTTTCATAAATTTCAAGTATTTCCTAATATTTGAGTATTTAAGCCTTTTAAGGTTTATATTTGATATCAAGATCAAATTACATTTTAGAAGTTAAAAAACGTTTTGATGCTACTTAAGACCCTAAACAACTTATTAAAGCTTCAGAATAAGATTAGAAACCAACCCAAATCATTTAGGAGGATTTTTGAGTGATTCTCGAGCCTAAAATAACCATTTCTGGGTGAGTATCGATACCGGGATGAACAATATCGATACTGGTTAAATTACGGTAAAAATTAGAGATTTTGGGCTAGAGTATCGATACTGCCAAGGGGAGTATCGATATTGCCCCTGCATTATCGATACTCAGGGTGGCAAATATCGATACTAAGGCATAATTTCGCGATAAAATGCATTTTTGGTACCGATACTCATATGTTATCAACACTTGACCCTAGGATATCGATACTACAAGTAGAGTATCGATACTACTCACTTTAAATGGTCAGATTTTACCCGTTTAAGGTCCGTAAGAGCTAAAGACGATTCGTAATAGCAAGAATTGGCCTGTGAGGGATATAAATGATCAAGAATACCTAGAAACACTCGTAGGAGCAGGTTACATCAAGTGTAGCCATATTAAGAATAAATACGCCAAAGAATCTTCAAACAACAATGAATACGAATAGTCAGGACCGAGGATCGTTCAGGAGACATCCAATAAGTGGTACGATGATTATGTCAGATTCAGTGGTCGCAAAAAGTATGAGCTTCGAGAATATCTATGAACCCAGGAAAAGTAAGTTGTCCTTTTCAGTTCAAGAAGTTTTGAAGGGAAGTATGATAAGATCAATTAAAGTATCGCTACTCAGAAATGGACCCGAGCCATATATTGGGCTAGCCAATTCCTTAAATAATAAGTAAGCCTTCACATAACGTTCTAGATGAGAGAATAAGCAAAATAACAACTAGTGTGACGTTGACTTCACTTTAGTGAGTCCATCTATGTTAAGGTATACCCAGGATTACCTTAGTTTCCTTAGTGGGGCATTGCCAGTGCACGAGGTACTTCAGGGGCTAACTAGGGTGCGAGACCTGAACACCTGCGAGGAGTGTGTTAGCGATGTTGGTACTATATGGCCTATGTGCCTTAGATATCCATGGTTAGTTATGTCAGTCAGTTCTGTTGGGTAAGCTTTCGATGTACGTATATTCCGGTTCTTACCTCTAAGTTATTTTGTATTCAATATAGGTTAGGGTATTGCTTTGAGATGCACGTAAATTCCTCCGACCACACCACCATAACTATCTCATGTATGCTTGTGTCAATCATGCATGTATAGTCCCATCAGATTAGTATGGCAGGTATGTTAAAGCTTGGCTTGAAGGCTTGTGAGACCAAGCCAGTGCTTCAGTTTGTGTGGGAAATGTATTAATGCTACATGACACCAGGTTCCCCTTAGTGATCTACACGATGGCTATGTGAGGACCAAAAGATCATTCAGTATTTTTGTGGTAATTAAGTCGATGCTATGTGACACCAAGATTTCCTCAGTAACTAGTGTTTGAGAGCTATGTGAGACCAGATACTAGTCAAATTTGTATTCAGATAATGCATAATATGTCAAATTTGCATTTAGATAATACATAGCATGTCAGGTTTGTATTCAAATAATACACATGAGTATCATTGTCACATTTAGATAATGTGTAACATTGTTCAGTGGTTAGGGTTAGAGACCCTTTACAGGTGTACTCATGGCGAGGCCCTTAGTAGAGGATTAAGGGAAGCGTGAGACTCCTACTTCAGTGATAGAGCAATAAAGTCCTAAGTAAGGAGCACATGATCTAGGTCATGCATGCACATACTGCTTAGTACCATGTCTTCAGCATGCTTATGTTTATTAAACTCTTATGTTGCTCTAGATTAGCGATTATATTGTTGGGCTTTGTAAGCTTAGCCTTCAGATGTTTCCGTTGGCAGGTTTGTAGCTTGATCAATTCGTGGGGCACCGTCGCAGCAGGGTTTCCAACATCTCCAACAGAGTATTGTACTGTAGCTTTAGTGGGCATGTATATTCATAGGACCTTACTTATGTATTTGAGTACTAAACTTTAAGATGTATTATTTTGTTTTAAATTATGCGTCACGAAGTTCTGATTTTTATAAAATATTTTTATAACAGTTATTTATGTTTTATTATGATACTATTCAATACGTTTGAAAAGAAAATGAACATGTTTTGAAATTTAGGGGTTACATTAGCGGCCCAGTATTATACTTTAAGTTCAATCGGGTTTAGGGTGTTATAATGTCACTAACCAAAGATTTATTAGTCTAATGATAATAAAATATATAACAAAATTTTAGTGAAAAATTCAAACTTTTAAATTTTAATGATGAAATTCATATAAAGATTAAAATTAAAATTTGTATAAATATGTAAAACTTTTGAGGTGACATTTAACTCGATTGAGAGTTGATTTAAAAACATATTTCTATAAATTCTTAGTTAACATTATAGGAATATTTGTGTTTCAAATGTCACATAATATCTTTAAAAAACTTTAATTATGAAAAAAAATCATCTTTTTAGAATATAATGTTAAAAAATGATTCATCATTTAAAGTATATATTATTTTACATAATTTTCTTAATACTATCACTCTCTTTGTAAAAGATACTATCCATTTGTTAATTGTTATAAACGAAAAGGAAAATGATAAGAAATACTCATAAAAAGAAAAGTCTCAACTTTTTAAAAAAATGATTATGTTCCTATCTTTTCCCTCCCATCCAATCGAGTCCTTAAACAAGACAATGGATAAGATAAACCTTTTGACCTTACAAGTTTGACAGTTTTTTTGTAGAGGTGTCTTTCTTAGCTGAGATCTGGGTTTGTAGATGCTACAAGGAATTGTTAAAAGCAGTTATGTTTGTAATCCATACTTCTGACACAATCTTCAGCAGCCATGAACATATGGCAAGCAAGAGAAAGGAGGGATGTAATATTAAGAAACACTGTGGATAAAAGAAGAAGAAAGCCACTTCCTCCATTATTGCAAGTACAGAGAATGAGATAGCTGGGGATGTGTACGATGACTTCACCAAAGAGAATGCAGATACTATAATGACGTTTTCTGGTCTGGTCTCTATAAATATCTGATGCTTATGTTCCTTTTCTTGTATATTCTGTACTATTGACATTGATTTTTGAGCAGGAAAGATGGCATAGTATAGAATAAATTCCATGTAATCGAATACCACATCAACATGGAGGCAAGATGCCAATCATACAACTTATGGCACTCATGTTGAGCATACAGTCATACAGATGGAAATATATAAAATTATTTTTCTATAAGCTAAGGAGCATATAGAATCACTTAATCCGAAAGAAATTTGCATATATGTTGACCTTGAAAAACTGAGAATTTGTTCTCATATGTCATCCTTAATAATTGAAGAAAGAAGATATTATCCTCAAAATCATCTTCCTCAACTATGTCTCAAGACTCATGGCTATGGTTTTATTCCTTTTAGCATTACATCTCCCATTCCATCTACATGTATAGCTTACCACTTAGGATGGAAACATTCCTTCTTAAGTTTCTTCAATTCAACCATGTTACAAAACTTCCTTTGATAATGTTTCTGATGTCTTGAAATCATCTTTTAAAGATGCTAAGATTCTTGTCTTTTCTTTGGATCCTTAGACTTTGATAATGTTGCGGATATATATATATATATTCATATTCTTATGTGGGGCATGAACATAAATGCCTTATGTCTGGACTTTCCTATCTAAACATCAGGGTTTCCTATGTACAAGCACTTACCACCATTGGTCCATTGCCACCAGTTGCAAGCATAATTCCTCACTTGGCTTCAATTGCAAGCCATAAACTACATGACCCTAATTAGTAGCCTAACCATAGTTACCAGAGAATCTCAGTTGAATTTATCTCTTTTATCACAAAACAAAGAACAAACGCAAACTTTCTAACCATTATAAATCACCATCCAGATTGTTTCTTTAGAGGCCACACCAGAAGAAGAAAAAAAAAGGAAAGAAAAAAGCCATGAAATACAATGAGATTTCCCATTTCAGCCACCCCCAACACATACTAAAATTCGAGTATACCGAAGTTCCATTCAAGTGCGACGGCTGCAAGGAAGTCGGCATAGGCTCGCATTACCGATGTTCCTTCTGTGACTTCGATCTCCACATGCACTGTGCAATACATTCTCTTTCGATCTACCACCCTTTCTATACCAAATGTTCCTTTCAGTTCTTCTACAGGCCGCCCGGTGACACCCCTCGTTACTGCAATGCCTGTGAAAAGGATATAAACGGTTTCGTTTACCACTGCAAATCATGCGGGTTCGATCTTCATCCGTGTTGTGCAAAGCTACCGATGGTGTTAGACGACGGAGAAGTGAATCTGTATCTGCATAGGAAAGTGAGAGCAGTATGCCATAGATGTGGACGTAAAGGGAGGAGCTGGAGTTACAGGTCAGGTTGCAAAAAGTATAACTTGCATGTTGCATGTGTTAGGGAAATGTTGATGGAAAATTGGCATGAATTATACTTTGGACATGGAAAGGACAGTACAAGGAAACTGGAGACAAGAATCCCAAGCTTGAAAAATACACTTCAAACGCCTCATAAAAGGAGTAAAGGGAAGGTAAAGAAATGCTGTGAGATGGCTGTTTTGGCTTTGCAATTTGTGATATCTGCTGTGCTTGGGGATCCCACTGCTCTCATTGCTGGGGTTATTGGAAGTTTGATGTCAAGAGCTTGAACTGTCTGTGTTCTTGTCTGGTCAGTTTAATTCAATGTAGGTGCCTGTAAAGAGAAGAAAAAAACAAAGTAGGGAGCAGAATGTTTAGATTTTGCTGATGCACCAATTATCTGTTGTGAATCAATTTTCTATGTGCATGCATGTTATCCCATTCCCATGCACTTTCATGAAAATGTATCTTTCCTTCTACTCTGTTGGGCTTATTCCATTTAAGATCCAACAAGAATCATCCTCAAACCAGTTTTGCATGTTAATCACTCGCAATCTCATCTCCATAACTTCATCAACAGCATATTTATCAAAGGGCTCTTCCAAAATCTTAGAGAGTTTACCTCGGGCTGCTGTTGCTGATCCTCAAATAGATTCGGTTTTGTTTGCCTTTCGAATATAAAAATATAAATCATACTGGTGTATATTTTCGAAATTTTATTTAAGGAATATTAGTTCTTTTTACTATTCGACTCAACATCCGTGGATAACTTGAACTAAATTACGTATTACCAACTAGCCTACCTACTGCTCATTGACACATGACAACAATATTTTGTCACAAGACATTAAGACCAAGAAAATTTCTGAGTTGTATACATGATTTTTATTATGATGAAATGGGAAAGTGATTAAACGCAGCGATGGAGAGTTACATTATATATTTTTTTTAATTTTGGGTGACTTAATTCCCATATATGTAAATAGAAAATATAGTATAAAATTTAATTAAAGCAAAGGACAGCAATAATTGTACATAAAACATAGTAAATATGGACAGCTCAAAGTGTAAATATCCTATCTTGTTCCCCATATAAATACTAACCTTCTCCTTCTCCATCAATTGCAATTCCCATCACTGTGAAAATTTCTGGAGATTATGGGGAAGAAAAGCTTAGGCCGTCAGAAGGTGGAGATGGTGAAGATGAAGAACAATAGCAATCTCCAAGTGACCTTCTCGAAACGGCGTTCGGGTCTTTTCAAAAAGGCCAGTGAACTTTGTACTCTGTGTGGTGTTGAGATTGGTATCATCGTCTTCTCACCGGGGAACAAAGTTTTCTCCTTTGGTCACCCGGAAATCGGCAACGTTAGCGGTCGGTACCTCAACTGCAACCCTCAAGCTCAGGATAATTCTGGTACTTTGCATATCATGGAGGCTCATCGAAATGCTCATGTTCGTGAACTCAACATGCAACTTACTGAGGTTTGATTATAAACCCGAGACTACTTTTATTTTATTTGTTTTGTTTGATTGTTGATTTGATTAATAGTCGTTTTTTTTTCTGTTTCAGTTGACGAGCCAAATCGAAGTCGAGAAAAGGCGCGGCGAGGAGCTCAACCACATGCGAAGGGCGAGCCAAGGGCAGTGCTGGTGGGAGGCGCCGGTCGAGGAACTTAGCCTGCCGCAACTCCAGCAGCTGAAATCGGCGTTGGAAGAGTTGAAAAAGAACGTTGCAAAGCAAGTGGAAAAGCTTCTGATTCAGACTACCAACTCCCAGCAGTTGTTCATGGGGAGTTCGAGCGCCGCCGCCGGGGTGTTTCCCGATAACATCGAATTGGACGTGAACATGATGCCTCAGGGATACAATCCTCCTCCTCCCAATATGATACCTCCTGGATTCACTTTCAACCTCAATCCCGAAGGATACAATCCTTGTCCTCCTGGATTTGGACATTCATTCTTCTAAGTAATTTAAGTTACTTTCTTTTGGAATAAACAAAGAATTCAGTTACAGTGTGTTTGGTTTTATGTATGTATTTTTGTCCTTCATGTTGGTTCTTCATGTCTGTATTTAATTTGGTTATGAACTTAGTAACCTCCTCCCATCTTCGTTTTTTTTTTCTTTCAAATTCTGGGTTTATAATTATCTTCTCCATGTCATACCTTGAGTTCGAATCTTACTGCATAACTATGATTAGAATAAATTACTATAATATACAAAAAGCAAATGAACTGATAATCAAAATACTAGAGCTAAATCTCTATCAAAAATATATATATACTAGAGCTAAATCATAGTACCACTAAATGAGTTCGATTTAAACAAAGATAAAATCTGAACATAAATAGCTCCTGGAAAGATAGCAGAAAGCGTTTTGAACCTCTCTTGTATGTTTCTTAGTTTTCATCTGATGATGTTGAACCACAAATTTTATCCAAAGATGGTATGAAATGATATTGCAAGCAAGGTGAATCTTTGCCGTTTGGTGACAGGGCATCATTTTGAGACAACAACGTTGTCTAAACTGTCCGTAGATTTTGTGGATATCCATAATGATGAACTTGCCTTAAATGCTACTAATTTCACCATGTGGCTGAGGTTCATCAATCACGAATCAATGTAATAAGATTTTGCAGTTTTCAAGTTTAGGGGAATTAATCCTTTAAAGCGATGCTACAAAATCATGGATTGATCATACCAAGTGAATTTAAGTAGTACAACAAAGATAGTTTAGGACAGTAATTAACTTGAAAAAAATAAAATGCATCGGAAACAGCTCTATGGATATTATTTCATGCTCTAAACCGAACTTCAATTGTTTATTAAAAAATAAGAAAAAAAAGGATTTTTTTATGTGTGAGTTAGAAGGGGAGGGGATTTATACAGAGGATAAGAGGGAGGGAAAGGGGCAAGAAATGGAAGTGTTTTCCAGAAAACGTTTACGACATCCTCATCATCAATAAAAGTGGAATGCCTTTTTTTTATATAGAAATTACTTTCGTCTTACGTGATCGAAATGGGTAAAAATTCCAGAAATAATACTGAATAGCTCTCAAATTAGAAACTAATAATTAAATGAGAAATATTTTTAATAAAACCCCAATTATATATATTTATTTATTTATAAACACACAAGGACGGTCCAAGTGAATGAGAGTACTTTTACGATAGACATTTTGATAATGGGCTTTTAGTAAACTCGATAAAACGAGGCCTTGGCCTTATATATCCGAAGAAATGCTACCCAAATGTATGTGGTTTGAGGCTCCGCTATTCCAAATGTAAAGTTGACAAAATTGGCCCAATACGGTTTACGAGTTTTTTTATTTTGGGATATACAGTATTTTTTACAATAACATAGAATTCGCCATGTCGAAACTATGAGTTATAAAAAATAATATTTTTTATTCAAACTTTTTATCTTGATGTGATAAATTTAATAAAAAAATATTTTATTAAAACTCGTCACTTCAATGAACTCGTCTCCTCAACGTGATAAGTTCCATAAACACTATAATCCCAAAATAAACTTCTATTTGCCCTATTTTCCTAAATAATTAACCAGTTTGTCTTATTGAGCCAAAAAAAACTGTAAAGTTTGTTATAATAATACATAAGCCCAAAATCTTAACATTAGTAAGCTCATTACATTACTTGACTTTTTAAATTTAAATTGTATGTTAATGTTATAGGTGTATTTGATTGGATTGATTTAAATTATATATTATAAATGATAAATTATTTCATGTACCCTTTCCACTACGTCATAATGGTTCTAACCAATTAAAAGATATACATCAATTTTTTTCCATGCCATTTACACATAAATTTTATTTTTCAAATCAATTTCTTCATTAATACATATCAAAATTAAACCTAAATTTAAGCATAATTTTTAGGATTTTCATTAAATCATATAATTTTTTTTACCTCTCTTCAAGTTTTCTTTCTTCTTGTTTATCCAAGTTAATTTTCTTCATTCAAAGTCCCTCTTTTTATCTCAAATTCATAAAATTTCATGGCTTTCGAAGCTAAGATTTTTATGACCTGTCGTGTATAAAAATTGTGGAATAAATATTCATGAAAATATCAAAGTTGTTTCTTCTCTATGTGAGGTTTGGCTAAGGTACTAGCTAAAGGACAATCAAAATTAATCTTAAAATGTTAATCTAGTTTGGATTGAGGGAGATGCACTAAAATGTTGACAGTCATTAACATCCAAATACAATCCCACACTTGACCTTGTTTTATGAATGCATTGAAGCAGGCTGTTAATCACTTTTGTTGGCCTGAAGATGTAACACTTTTTTTTTTGGTTATACAAAGCATATCCAGTAACTGATTCATGAAAGCTTGGTCTTGTGTAACTAACTCAACAATTCTTGTCGGAGAGCTTGGTGGATCACTACTCCTATCGGCTCTCCCCTGGTTAGGCAAGCAAGTTTATCGGCCACTTTATTACCGTCCCGACCAATATGGCTGATTTTCGTTTCCCATTCCTTGCTCAATAGTTTTATAATCAGCTCGACGATCGTACTTCTGCAATCAATGCTTGATTTATGAGTGATTGCCTCCACTGCCATTAGACAGTCCAATTCAACCTCTACCTTCTTGAAACCAAGGTTCCAGGCATAGGAGAGAATATCATGTATCACCCAAAGTTCCGCCATCAAAATCGAGCATTTACCGAGGCTTTGGCTGAAACCAAAAACCCAACTACCACATGCATCTCGCGAAACACCTCCGGCTGCAGCCATGTTCCCCGCTCCTCCAAATGCTCCATCGGCGTTCGCTTTCACCCATTCCAGATTTGGTCGTTGCCATCTCACAATTGTCTTATTCGAAGTTCCTCCGCCAGGGTTATTATCCATACTAGCAACTATATCATTTTTCAGTCGAAAACAAAGCGCCATGAAATCTCCACGTTCCTCACCGTTCTTAAACACTAAATTGCATCGCCTCTTCCAAAGCTTCCAGCACACGACCGCAAACAGCACTACTCCTTCCATTCCATTGATTGGAAATTTCCCCTGCCACTAAAACCATTCATCCTTCAGCATATTGAGGAAGTTTGGAAGATCATCACTAATGATAATCTTTCTCCAAACGTCCAAGGCAAAGGAGCATTGACGAAGAGCATGGGAAATGCCCTCGTCCTCGGAAAACCATAGAGGACAACATGCCGACGCAGCAATATGGCGGCGCTGCCTCTCCTCATTAGTCAGCAGTCTTCCATGAAGGGAGAGCCAAAGGAAAACACGTATCCACTGGGGAACAGGAAGTAACCACACTCTCCTCCAACTGATCGGCGAAGCTGGCAACGTAGCAAGCGATAAGGCCTTATAAGTTGACTTAACAATAAAGGAATGATTTACCTCCCATCTCCACCCCGGCACGTCATCACCGAGTCCTGACACCGGAGGACCAACCGCGGCTTTTCTCCCGCAAATAGGTCCTGGAACGCACTCGCTCAATCTCTCCCAGACCCATGCTCCGGACGGTGTAGTCATGGATTCCACCGGGATCGGATGCGGATATTCATTAAGTATACAGTGAGTAACCAAAGGCCCCTTTTCATCAAGCCAAACGTCATGCCAAAAATCAGTCCTAACCTCATTAGATGCTTCAAAGTTTTTAAACTTGAGTTGTTTTCGATGACCTTCATGATTTAATAAATGAAAACTTTAGATGCTTCAATTTAGAAAGTCATGAAAAAGAACTTGAATGAATAGAGACAAAAAGCTAAACTTTAAAAAGAAAAAAATAGATGAAGAGAGGTAAAAAACTTTTTTTATATGTATTAATGAAGGCCCAAAAACATTGCTTAAATTTAGGTTTAATTTTGATGTGCGTTAATGACAATTTATTTGGAAAATAGAATCTATGTGTGTGAATGACATGGAAAAAAAATTGATGTGTATCTTTTTAATTGGTTGGGACCATTGATGATGTGGTGATAAAGGTCCATAAAATAATTTATCATTATAAACATATTTAAAATAAATAATATGTATATTAAAGACAATTAAGTTGATAAAATCAGAATAAACTATAAACCGATTATATCAAATAATTAGGACAATCCCAGAGACCTAATCAGACGTGATGGTATGGAATGAGGCTGTCTGACGGATGTGTTGTGTTGGATTCATCATCCAATGTATCCAAGCTGTGCTGTGATTCTGTGAACTATTTCACTTTGGAACTGCCACTGCCCCTACTCTCCAACTCTTTATTGGATCATCCTCTCTGTTCAATTATGTTAAACTTAGTACAAAACGGCAAAGGATTTGGCTAGTCTTGGGGCATGGCATATTGTTCATTGAATGTAGGTGCGCATGCAGCTCATACACCTGTGTGTGTATCTGTATATCAATCAATCCCTGAAAGTCTGTCCTGTATGGGGAGAAGTTTTTAATCCTATATATGGATGCTCTTTAATCCTATTTTGACTTGTTTGCTTTCGGTTTTAATGGGCTATTATTAATTCTTTAAATTTTAAGGTTTCTTTTTTATTAAGCAAATATGTCAAGCTTAGCTGTTCACTGAAATGTATATACACGCTGAATCTCAGTGGTTTTACCCTCAACTGCCTCCACGTACTTGTCCCTTCCGTCTCTGCAACAACCCAGCTAATACTACAGCCCGTGTTCTCATTCTCTTAAATTTCCTTTTTGCTTAGAAGAAGAAGACCCAAACTCCAAAAATGGATCCCTGCCCTTTTGTAAGGATCCTGGTGGGAAATTTGGCTCTTAAATTTCCACCGTCAATAAACACCTCACTCTCAAGAATCCACACTTCTACATATTTTTGCAAGATTAAAATCAACAACTTCCCTCACAAAGTGGCTTCGATCCCGTTTATGGTATCACAAGAAGACAACGACAATTCTTCTTCTCAGAAATCGATGGATGCTTGTTTTAGTCTTGGCAAGTCTCAGATCGATAGAATCGTGAGGGGTTCGTCGTGCAAAGTTTCTATCGAGGTTTATTATGGTCCTAATGGGAGCACTTGTGGATTGGCTTATAACAAGTTGCTGGGGAAGGTCACGGTGCCAT